ATCGGAGATGTTGGGGCACAATCTTTGGGTGATGGATTACAACACAATACAGTAATTCTCACTCTCTCTTTATCTATACCATGTCCTTACCTCGATTTTTCCATCTAGACACTCACCACATTAAACATCAGCTACAATCAAATCCGAAATGTTGGAGCGCAATCTTTGGGTAATGCATTACAGCACAACACAGTAATCCTCATTTTCTCTTTATCGATACAATGTATTTACCTGCACCTCTTCATCTAGACACTCACTACATTAAACGTCGGCTATAATCAAATGGGAGCTGTTGGAGCACAGTCTTTGGGTAATGCATTACAACACAACACAGTAACTCTTATTCTCTGTTTATTTATACCATGTATTTACTTCCAATTATTCATCTAGACACTCACCACACTAGATGTCTCGAGCAATGAAATCGGAGATGTTGGGGCACAATCTTTAGGTGATGCATTACAACACAACACAGTAACACTTATTCTCTCTTTATTTATACCATGTATTTACTTCCAATTATTCATCTAGACACTCACCACACTAAATCTCGGACATAACCGAATCGGCGATGTTGGAGGACAATCGTTAGGTGATGCATTACAGCACAACACAGTAATTCTTATTCTCTCTTTCTGTATGCCATGTATTCACCTTCAGTTTTTGATCTAGTCACTTACCAAACTAAATCTCGGGCATAACCGAATCGGCGATGTTGGAGCACAATCGTTAGGTGATGCATTACAACACAATACAGTAATTCTCATTTTCTCTTTGTTTATACCATGTTTCACTTTCAATTATTTGTCTAGACAATTACATCACTTTACCTTTGGTACAATATTACAATCAGTGATCTTGGAGCACGATTTTTGAGTAATGCATTACAACACAATACAGTAAATATCATTCTCTGTATTTATACCATGTTTACTTTCACTTATTCGTCTAGACACTCGCCGAACTACACCTCGGTGGTAATAACATTGTGCATGATGTGCTACATGTAATCAAAGAATTACTTCGACGGAATGAAAATGGAAGAAAACCGTGAACGACACTATTAACTATGTTAGGATGGTGAACAAATCGCTGATGACGATCATGCCAGCTTTTTTTTGTCTTATGATTTTTTGACACAAACAGAAAATAAAACTGCTTTTTTGAAACGTAATATATATTGCTTTATTGATGTTTTCTTAGCAGTTCCAGTATTTGATGAGGAGAATGCTAGTATTCTTAAAAAACAAAGCTTTTGCAGAAATATGTTAGAGTGTGCAGTTCGTGCAAAATTAAACCGAAGCTTTCTATAACAATATTAAAACTCTCAAAAATTCTTTCCAGGAAAGATGAGCCAGAAAAGATTTTGTATGATAGTAGCAGAACTCTGAAAGATCGTTTGGGGGTTACGACGAATGGTGAAAGGTTCTCTGTGATAATAGTAAATCTTTGAGACGTACTTTCTAGCATTGCAGAAGGAACGAGTGGTGCTCGATGATATTGAACCAGAAATGTTTTCTTCGTCAAAGCTGAATCGTAAAATGTACGGTATGGACTAGTGCTGAACTCAGAATGATTGTTTTAGTATTGTCAAGTTTGTGAAAGCCTTGTGGTTGAATAGCTGAATCATCAACAAATAATCTAGAGGTAAAAAAGTTCAGTATAAAACTATTCTGTAACTTCGAAAATTCTGTTATTGAAGTGATTTTGTCTTCGTTCAGTAGTACTGTTGCACTTAGTAATGTTATTTTTTGTGGAATTATTAAATGCATCTAAATGTTAATAGATTTTTCTAGTCAAAGATTATTATGAAACGTAGTATAAAGTAAAAAAGACCTTGACAAACAATTTTCTTGTGAGAAAAAACTTCCATCTTTTGATTAAAATATGAAAACAATCTGGAAAAACAGACTGACTTTTAATTTTTCAATAGAACTTCATGGATAATGTATGCAACTATTTATATTGAATCCAAAACATCTTGCCAATTTATATTCGATCGGCAAATAAAAAATATTCATATGACAATCATATCTCACAACAAATCACAGAAGTGTATGAGTGGAGATCAACTCGATATGTCTTTAAATATAAGATGATCAGACATTTACTTATAATATTATGAGCATTGTACAATGATCAAAATAAAACAAGTAACGCTCTTTCTCGTAGAAATGGCCTGTCTTCGCTACCAGTGAACTACTTAATCAAACAATTTAAAAAAACCGACTCCAGATTTGTGTTCCTCGACTCCGATTACTCTTCGGTCAACCATTATAAAAGAGGTCCTTCTATATTTTTATCTAATTTTTGGACTAATCAATGAAGTGGGGACACACAAGCAAGTAGACAATTTATGTTTGCAAGACTCTTCTGTACGAGAAAGAGAATAGCGCCTTTATAATACTTCTATAAAACTAAATAATCGAGATTAGATCCATCCGAAGAAATTAGCTTTATATTTTCTTTACAGTGAACAAAATAACTCATCGAATCAAGAAATTCTTTTAGTATATAAACAACAAACTCTCTTAACGCTTTTATATATGAAATAATACGTATTAAAAATAGACGAAATATTCAACATCTAGCCATACCGGAATTAATAATAATTTTTATAAAGATAATTAAAAAAGCAAATAATTATATTTTTTTATCTTTATTCTGATATTCAATTAAACTGTTTTTATTCAAAGATAAATGAGAATTTATTTTTATTTGTACATGAATAAAATTAAATGCTTTTTTTTATTAACTAGATAATTTTTGAAGCCAAACTAAGTCCACTAACATCATTTAATTTTTTTCATCATGAATATCTAAGTATGTTTCATCATTACATGGAGCTGTTCTATTTGAGCGTGATGTTTCGTCAGAGTTAGTTCCGTCTTGTGATGTGAGCTGTATATAAAAAGTTCGATTCCGTAAAACTTTTTCCATATCCATGTGTTCATATGAGTTGAGGGTGTGGGTGTGGGTGGGTGTGGGTGTTGCAATAGATCATAAAGTAATACCAGCACACCCACCCACACCCACACCCTTAATAAGAATTAATCCACGATGGACATTGTTGTTTTTTTATCACCTTCTTTTTTTAATTTTTCTTTTGCTTCTAAAAAAAATGATGTTAAAAGTCAGGTTAAGAAGCATTTTTACCTTTTTCCTTTTCTAATTGCTTTAACCGATTTATGTGACTTTGAAGATCAGCATTCAGTTGTTCCATTTCAGCTGTTGTATTTGTGACTGCTGACTTTATCTTGTCCTTTATACATTTTATCATGGTTTTCTCGAATTCAATCTAGTCACAAATTAATTATACACAAACTACTATAATGTTGTCTTACCTGTTCTTCTTTAGTTAGCACCCTAAAATCGTCAAGCTCCATATCGAACGATGAATCAAGATCATCATTATTATTACTTTTATCCATTTCTCAAATGCAAACGACAAACAATATCAATTTGACAAAATGATTCAGTAACTGTTTCGTGTTTTTACTTTATTTTTCCTTCCTGTCAAGCTTCTTACTAGTCGGACGTTATTCACTCTCTCAGTATGTAGAGATCTATCTTATATATATTTTATAATAGTCAACTTTACTCGATAAATGTAAATGTACTTGATGCTCTATCTTATCATATTATAGAATAATAAACTTTCATTTCTCCACTGAAATATAGCAAATGATGAAAAACAATTAAAATTAACGTATTCAATCTGATCGATAACGTCTAAATGAGGAGAGAGAGACTAACAATGATAATTATAATACAAATATTAAGAAGAAAAAGGAAAAAATGTTTATCAATGAATTTTTTGGACTATGCATCGACGCTATATATTTTCTTGACCAGGTCATCCATTCATTTTATTCAATTACGGAAATGAATATGTAACGAACAACAAAGAATATATATGCATCTTAAACAGAGTGTTCATTACAGTCGATATGCGTCAGTCGAACGTTACTCTTCTTGAGCTGCCCGATGAAATATTGCTTATTATTTTAAAGAACCTTAATAATATGGATGTTCTCTATTCATTATTGGATATTGATAATCAAAGACTTGATATACTAGTAAGAGAAGAAGTTTTTACTAAATTACCGTTCAATAATAAAAAAAAATTCTGCTTCCTATTTGTAATTAATTATATGTAGATCAATAAATGACATATCATCTTATGGATTATTTTAATTAAATAGGATAGAGTTAAGTATTTTGTGTGTATGAGAATTTAATATCTGATTCAGTAGTATATGTCGGTAAATCTATAACAATAACTCTATATATTCATCAGACATGAGTATTGACATTAGTTCGTAACCTTCATCTAATAAGTCCTTTGAATCAAGAGTTATTTTGCAAAGTAAAAGGAGATGAACGCTTTTCAAATGCGAAATGAATGTTTATCTTAAAGCTTTGAAGGTAAGAGTTGATGGTGGGAATGGAACCGATATCTAAATCTGATTTCGCTATACTTCAGTTTGGTTTCTGACGAATACTATACAGAAATATATCATTGTTTTCATTGACGACATCGGTCAACTAACACACATGAGTATATATATATGTATAAGGAAAGCAAAAGATAAAGATCGTAAATGAAAATAAACATGGAAAATTCATTTGTTCAATTGAATGATTTACCTAATGAAATTCTTTTGATTATTCTGAAAAAATTGCTTAAAACTTGTGTACTCTATTCTTTAATATGTGTTCATAAACGACTTGATACGAGGGGTGGTACATTTACGTTAATTTGAGGTTAACGGTTAACGGAACCCGTTAATTAAGTCCCGTTAAATAAAATGATCCATCCCTACATTCGTATTTATTTTTCATATTTCGTCTTATTTATATTTCTTAACACAAAAAATGTCTATATAATATCAAAGCCATATTTGAATTAATTGAGAAGAACATTTTAATCGATATGATCGATTGAGAGGTTGTTCATATAATTGTCGTCGAATTTTATGTGGAAAGCATCGTGTTTTTGAATTAGTTTCCGACGAGATAATTAGTGATAGAAAAACAAGTTGTTGTAAATGATCAACAAGAAAATGAATAAGATCAATAATCTTTTTAGTAGATTTATCTTTTTCACGAAAAACTTCATAAATAGAAAATGATAATTCTTTTAAATTCGGTAATCGATATGATATTAATTTACAGAAATCTTTTGCATTATGTAATCTTAATGAACAATCATCGGTATCAAACGAATCTATCTAAATAAATATAAAATAAATTCCTTTTTCTTCAAATTAAAATTCCTACTTGTTTATTTACACGAGTTCCAAGATCATTTTGATTATGCAATATTGCACGCGATAAATATCCCCTAAAACCTGCTATAGATAATGTATGAACATGAGAAGCCATTTGTAATATTGATTCGAATTCAATTGCCGTAATATTAACATCTTCTTCAATAGAAATTTTTCTTATTAATGTCCATGGAATTAATGATGATATAAAAGATTGACAATTTCCAAATTCAGAAAAACAATTCTTCTGTTTACATGCTCTTAAAACTAATTCATTCGCATGTGGAAACAAGTCGATTGCTTCCATTGATATTTCATAAGTTCTAAAAAATAAAAAAAAGATTCAAATATATTTTTGTAAATTTTTTCACAAAAAAATACTTGTTTGGTTTCGTAGGAAATAGATAAGACGGAATCTTGATTTCATTATATGGTAACGTTGATAATGTAAAACAATAAGAGTTTTCACAAACAGACCAATCATCAATTTCTTGAATAATTTTTTTTGACCTTTGTTCTGATTGATTAACAAATGGAGCATTTAAAAAAGAATTCAAAATCTTTTTCTCTTCTAGATCATTCTTTACATGAACTAATAGATTAAATCTATAGAATGTCGATGATTTTAAACGACTGATACATAAATTTTGTATCGTATCACCTGTTATTATTAACCGATCAGATATTGATGTAGTTGCAAGCAATTTCAATGATAAATAAGTAAGTTGACCAAATACAGATGATAATAATGCAACAGCTTTATGAAAACTTATTTTATCCTCACAATTCACACTAAGACGAAAAAGATAACGAAGTTGACGAGCATCAATTGGACTAGGCATTCTAAAATATCATTTTATTTATTGACCGTATACGTAGACTATAAAAAAGCCTACGATATGGTCTGGCATGCTGGACTGCTAGTCAAACTGAGTAACCTGGGAATCCCTGCGGGCCTGCTAAAAATGATTGTATCCTGGCTGAGTGATCGTCAGGCATACATTACTGTAAATCAGCAAAACTTCGAGAAGTTCGACATCGAAATCGGACTTCCGCAAGGAAGTAGCTTGAGCCCCTACCTATTTATCATTTTCCACAACGACCTGATCAAATGTCTTGGATCACACTCAGGTCACATCTTTGCAGATGACCTGAGTGTGTTGATAACTGCCCCGATCATGAAATCTCTGCGCGCGATGGTTGAATTTGAAGAAAGGGAGGAAAACAGAATATGTAAAAATATTGTTGAGTACGCAATAAAATGGAAACAACCGATTAATACTCAAAAATCGGTTGTACAAATCTTCTATTCCCAATTTGAACGCCCAGAGATGAAAATCTACATGGAGGGACTGCAACTTGAAATCGTAGATAGTTTCAAGTACTTGGGGTTTACTTGGACCAGCAAAATGTCGCTGAAACCGACAGTCGACCAAGCCCTTCTGAAAATTGACAAAGCACTCGGGAAGTTAAAATGGTTGAGAACAGGCAGACATATCTCAACTCAAGTACTAAGACAGTGCTTTTTTGCTTATGTGTTCCCTCACCTGGCATGGATCTTCCCTTTCTATCCCTTTTTACCAAAAACTCAACGAGACGCTCTGGACAGAAAATTCCGAGTAGCAATTCGACTTGTCCATAGATGCCCATATGTATCAGCAACTGAGCTTTTCACCCTAACTAAAGAAAAGCCCCTAGAATTTTATGTACAACAATACATAAAGAAAAAAATAGAAAAAATATATAAGACGGACCTGGGAACATCATACCTTCTTCGCGGTGTTTTTTACTGGGATACCTTTAAAAAGGAAAAAAATGACGCCGTGGAACATTACTTTAGACTGAGAAGAGTAAAGAAGCTATTGACAGGACACGAGTCGCTGCTGATCAATTGGATTAATTTCGTGGAATCAGCAGCAAACAAGAACTAAATACCCTACCTAATCAACATGAGCCCCTATCGATAACATATTATAAAGGATAACTCAGCTAGGACTCAATGAATCAATTGCACCTTACTTTATTTCAACTGACAGAATGTTACCCCTTCTCCCACCCTTTCTTCTATTCTTTTTTTTTTTCTTTTTTCTTAGTATGTAAGCACTCAAGAGTGTAACATTTTAATAAACGCATAAACCAAAAAAAAATATCATTTTATTAATGCTCTTAAAACTCATCTTTTGTTACTTACTGAGTTAAGTCTAAATTTTCATCTTCATAAATGTCTTCATGTTGTATACCGAAAGAAAGATTTTGAATATTAGGTATACAAATTACTAAACATTCTAAAAATCGGAATGTATTAATACAACACTCAATGTATGAAGATAGACTGTTGATGAAATATTTGGTAGGTTCAGCAATAGTGGTGCTCTTGCATTTGACAAATTCTCACGACCAAAATGAGAGAAATCAAAAGGTAATCGACAAATTCGTAGATCAGGTAGTTGTGAACACACCTTTTATAAAAATAAAAATTTAATTATTTCTTAAGAAACGAAAATTTTTTTCAAATAAACAATGATATCATTTTGAAGAAGAATCGAAAAACTATTGAATTTTTATCGGATATAGAGAACATATTTCAGATAGTTTCATAAATATGAAAAAAAATAGGGATGCAGAATTTGCTGTCAAAATAAAAAAATTTCCTGACTGTTAAAGTAAAGAGATTCTTTTTTTAAAGTATATATCTTTGAAAAAACTTCTCCATGCTATTCTCAGCAATTTTTGACTTGAATGTTTTACCAGGCTGATATTTATTGCACTGATCTTTCGCTTTGACTTTACGACTATTCCAATGACAATAAAAGCATGTTACATGTTTTTTTATTTGGAAACATTATCAGTTTTTCGAATGAAGAGTTAATGAAATTCGATATTAAAGCAATCAAGACAATGAAAGAAAAAATGCGAATGTAAAATTTATCTTAACCACTAAATCATCTTTCTTACTTTTATACATATTTGTTCCTTCGTGAATATAGATGCGCAAAATGACATAAAATACATACTCATGTCGATAGAGAGAAAAATACTCTGAGCTGTGCGAGGAACACAAGAAGTCATCTTATTTTCTATTTCTAAATAAATCAGATAATCTGTGCGTATTATTTGTAGTCTAAGATCTATAAAAGACAAACTTTTCTCTTAATTTTCCACATCAAGATTTCGTATAAGTAATAATTTTTCATAAATTTCCTGCAATGTGTGCTGACTCACACGAGTATATTATCTACCTTTTAAACAAAGACTCAATTACTTTCTCTTCACATTTGTGTTATGAAGAACGTTTATATGATTTTATTCACCGTTCAATAAATTTATCAAATCTTACAAACCACATCGCTAATATTTTCTTAATTAAACAATAATAGAAAATAAATGTTTGTTGTTACATTCTACATGTAATGCTCTATAACATTTTTATTTTCTTACCTTTGCCAGATATGCTCCTTCTTCTCTTTAACTATGAAATACACTGTACTTTGTCAACTCTATCACTAAAGTGTGTAGTTGTTTCACAAAACGATTATTTATTAATTTACTAAATTTGCCGGGTTCAATATCGATTAGATGAAGATGTCGAAGTAATGTTGTTTGGTGATGACGATGAAGAGATGATGAAATAATTGGCCATCCATTGATAACATTGCGTAAGCTTATACGTATTGAAACAATTCGTGAGCCTACGCGTCTTAAAACATTTTGACAGTTATCATTGAACATACTTAATGATGTTGTATCATTATCTATATGAATATGCCATAGATATTTCACATATTATCTCATTTTTCATGTATTTCTATATTGTGACATAGGGGTCAAACAGGCGAAAAAATGTAAGTAAACTTAAAGTTGAACTAAGCAACGTCGTTGACATTTCTTTACAATAACGGTAGTTATATTGGTTGATTCACTTTGAATTTATTTTATTTGCACGACTATTGTTCTAAATTTCTCTTGTTTTTTTATTTTATATTCGTCAATATCGACGAGAGAAACAATAAAGACCAATCATGTTAGTATTTATTCAACATATACGGTAAGAGCACGGCATAATAGAATTGACATCTATTTCTTTTTATAGTGTCTAAATGAATTCATGTATGACAATGAAGTAATTAATCTTGATCAATATACTCATATCATGCAATTATTAGATTTAGATTCAAAAATAGTACCAGTAAGTAAAATATATTCAAAATTAAAAAAAAGACAAATATTTATTTTCTGTTAAGATCTTGATATTGAAACTTTAAATAAAAATCTATTCGATCGTTTTAGAGTTGTTGGTCGTTCGAAACAATTCAATTTCATCGGAACAATATTTACTATACCTAGCGTACTTCTTGTTACAGTAAATAATTCAAAAACATTTTATTCAAGATAATTTTCTTATTATTTTTTTATTTTCATAGATTCAAGTTTAGTCATCATCATTTAAATACAGATTATGAAGATTTATTTACATATATAATACAAATAGATTTTATTAATTTAAGTTTAATAATTTATTTTTCTCTTGAAATATTTGTTAAACATGGGCATTTGGACTAATAAATTTTTTTCATTCATCAATATCCAGATATGTTTTATAATCAAATTGAGCTGTTCTATCTGAGCGTGATGTTTCGTCAGAGTCAGTTCCGTCTTGTGATGTGAGCTGTATATAAAAAGTTTGAATTAATTTTAAGGTATGGGTGTGGGTGTTTCTTCTTTATCTTCACCCACGACCGTCCGCAAATAGCGAAAAATTCGATCGACTACCCAATGTAAATTATTTCGAGTCGTACAAGTAACGGGTTTTCCATTAAAATCGTCTGAATAAGTTTGTTCACTATGATTGGCTCCTCTGCCTTTCCTTGCAATAATTTTAACCAACATCTTGTTATCATTATGTAAAGACCCCCATTGTCCTCTGCTTCGATCACAGCTGTGCATCTAGATGACTCTAACATATTGTCGGCTGCGTCTCGAAGTCGTTCCTTTGATGGCTACAAAAAATAAATAAAAATATCAGATGTTTTTACAATACTCAAAATTACTCTATCAACTACTATATTGACTAGAAATATAATAAAACCTACCTCATGCTCTTAGCAACATTCTTGAGGCACCAGAATACATTTAGGACTGACAACGTCGATTTCTATAAGTTTTCTTAGTTGTTTGTTATTTCGCCATACGCTTGTAAGCATTACGTCTTCATTGGATTCAAACCAATTTCGTTCGTCAAAGCGAAGACACATCCGAATTAGCTTCAAGACTCTATACTCTTGCTGAAGTTTTACGAAAATCTAGAGTTTTTGAAATTTAAGTGCATGACGTTTAAGAGCAACCTATAAAATACGACAAAATAGAAAAAAATCAAGTTGTGTAAACTATCTCTTACCGCTGGGTTGTTCTCAACAGACAAGGTCTCATCTGAATTGCGACAAGAAAATTGAATATTTTTCGACTTCTTCTTGCTCTCCACATAGAGCACCATAAAGAGGATGAAAAAAAGAGACGAATATTCATTTCTTGAGTGTTTGTTAGACTACGGTAGTTGTTTTTATTATATACGAGAGAAAAAGATAACATTTAGAGAAGATAACCTTAATTACAAAGCACAAAAGTTGAAGTTGGTATTTGAGATCAGCTTTCAAAATAGAAAAGGGTAGTGGATTCATATTACAAATTCAATCGTTCTATGCAATGCAAAATGCAAACACGTTGAATTAAATTGGATACGGTGGAATATATCGAAAGAAAAAGTAAGAAAAAGTCGAAAAATTAAACACAGAAAAAAGTGGATTTATCTAATATTTGAAATTGAATAATAGCAATAATCTCTAGTGCTAAAATTGTATCACTACGTTGAGTCTAACATTCATCCGAAGTGTTCGTATTGAGACTGATTATATCTAATACGCAAAGCAAGAGAAAAAGAAACAGAACAAGAGAAAGATAAATGTGGTAAAGCAATGGGGGGGGGGGGGGGGGCTATTGGAAAGGATGTCCATCTATTCTCTTGGCACAGTCATGACATCTATTTCTGTGTCTATTTATTTTTATTTCGTTTTAGTCTTTTATTACGTTTTCATATTGAGTTAGCACGTAAATAGACGTACACAATAGAAAAGGAAAGAACCAGTGTGATGTAGAGGAACATCCGTAAGTCATATGTAATTGTTAGTATGGATAAATATCAGTATGTGAAGTATTCGTACACATTAGAATAATCCAAAAACAAATAAATCCAGTTTTCAAGATTTACGAATCAAAATGTAGTTTTTTTCACCGCAATGTACGTCGTACACTTTGCTTTTTTGATCAAAGTGTAAGATATGGTGTGAATCGGAAATACCAGATGTTCTGCATATTTTATTTTTGGTTGGCACAGTTGCTATTTAAATCACTGCTACGTGATACAAGGAGCACTTGATTTGAAGCTAGTATTACGGAAAGATTCCGTGTTCCAGACATAATAAATAAAGCCAGCATGAATCTGAACGAGAGAGTGTGTGTGAGAGAGAAGATCCGTCTAAAACTAGACCTTAAATATATATCTAACAACAGTCATCTTACTCATATACGTATGAAAAACGAGACATAGTTCGTTGTTAATAAAATAAAGAAGATCTTTATTGAACATGAATAGTTAATACCTAAATAACAGTTATAGGTATTGATAGACTTGCTCTGAGTGATACGTACAGATCGTCGTAACAGAACTTTCATAGGTTTAAGTAAGAGATATGAACCAATTACCGAATATACTGGAATTTATATAAACAGTCGGCAGAAAGACAGATAAATCTAGAGTATTTCATTTAGTAAAAACTCATGACTACAAAATGAAGCTCAAGTAGTTTGTTTTACGTGACCAACACCATGAAACCTGTAAGAATTTTGGTGCAAAAACTTGCTCGAATTCTTAGTCGAACGAGTAAGTAGCAACCTGCTTAGTTTATTAGCTAAAAGTCATATTACACAAAAACAATAGCAGAAACTAAAAGTTAAAAAAGACGCAGCTAAATTAACCCATCAATATGTTCTACCTAAAGTACATAAACCAAAGATATTATTAGAACTCATAATGTCTAGTGTTGTCTTACTTCGATGAAGCAAACACCAAACAGAATTTAAAAATAACACAATAAATAAACAAGATAAAGAAAGTGAAAGATGGAAAAAAAACAGATACGAATAACAAATATAGTGTGAAGATCTATAAAGAACATATCTTTAACACAAATGAATAAAGCTTCGCTAAATTCTAGACAATAACACTAAAAAAATTTCAATAAAACAAAAAAATTGAAAACAACATTTATTTATGTCTTCACACTTGTTTAGTAGATCATCAGCCATCAGGCATGTACTTATTAACGATCTCTAACCAAGGCTCTTTCAAACGGTCTACTTGTTGCTGAATGTTTTCGGCCACAATTAATATATTAGTTTTAATATAGATAGTCCATTTATGCCCATCTGTTGGTGAAATAAAACGGAGTGCCAGCTTGCTATTGCTGTTCCTGTCATAGACGAAACGAAATTCGCTACCCCAGATAAGACTACTTGTTGACTCGTTCGTTGCTGTTCGTTTGCAATCAACTGATTTTAAGATTCGATTGACGGGATAATTTTCACTAAAGCTATAATGATATGACATTCGATTGACAACGAGACAATGTCCATTACTGACCAGATGTACGCGACGAGTTTCTCGATTGTACATGAATAAGGAAGAATTGCTGTCACAATGATATCGTTGACTGTCATCAGGAGCGCTTGGAAAGTACACATCATCTATGAATGAAATAGAAATGAATATACAGTGAAAATAATATCATGTCATACTATACTTTCTTCTAAACATTCGAAACACAATGATTATTCTAGAGATTGATCTTTAATGACACAACTATTTACATACCTTTCATTTCTGGGTAAGCCTCGAGAAAAATACCAGAAGGGTCTTCTGAGGAGTGATCTGTAGCACAACGAATTTGTTGACCATTCAATTCAAATCCTTGTGACCATCGAAAGAAAATTGGTGTCATGTTGGCATTTTTGATAATTATAGCGTCGTCGATGATACCAGCGTCAGTTTCGATAATAAACAGCCAGAAGAAAAGGTAAGTGTATTTGAATTGATGTTGATTAATCATTGTGCTCTCTTGATTTAAGGTGCGCTTCTATATATGAACTGAAGAATGAACTAACTTAGTTATAAGCGAGCTAGAGAGTGAATAAATCTATTCGTTTCTCTCTTCCTATTTCAATGTATTACCCATACACTAATCGTTGATCAAACAGTCCTCTGGATCACCCACTTAAAAAATTTTATTTCTTCTTTCTTTCTTTCTCTTGTATCGCCATACGTGACCTCAGTATATTGACATGTGATTGGTGTTTTTTTGAAAGAAAAGAAACGGTGAGAGCAATACATTAACCGGTGGCTCAATGTCAAGAGGTCAAAGAACAAAATGGTGATTGATTTGATAGAGATGAAAATCAATGAAAAAATGCCTTTATCGTATGCTTTTTTTGCTGGCATTTATTTTTGTCGTTTCTATATTAGGGTTGATAATATGAGACGCACAAGAAATCAGATAAGATAATAGCAAAGAGAAGGAAAAAAACGCACGTAGACATGTTTTCGGAAATAAGGTGGGATAAAATAATAGTTAGTGACATAAACGTATATAACAGACCCCGAAACGAGGCAATATTTCATAAATTCGACTCACCTCGCTTCGGTTTTTAAAGCCATTTTCTAAGACTCGAACAAAAAATATCTAACTACTCACAAAAAATCAGTAAATAATAACTTAAGTGGTTAGAGTTTTATTCAATCATTTTCAATTCACTCCATAAACAATGTTTTAGTAATTATTGATGGTTCGATTACAGATCACCGTAATGAAAGAGCCTGACCGATGGCACCAACTTCCCGTTTTAAAGTTACCAGACTACATGAAATTACAAAATATCTCTACAGTATTGTATAGAGACTTATTCTGATTATGAAGAAAAATCAAGACATATTCCTTTTTACATTCTATCTCAGTGGCAATCAAACAAAAGAAGACACAGACAGAAACCGTTCGTTTCATTAATTTTGTGTGCAAATTTTATTAATAGAAATGAATAGCTAGTAAAAAATCCATTCATTGAGATAATTCTAAAAACTAAAGTAAACACTAGGAGTGGTTCATTTGACTTAACTTAAAATTAAGTAACCCATCCCTTACAGAAACATGTAGGCATAGCGAAGTATGAGGATCGAACAGTGAAAGTAGCTTATAATGTTTTCAGCACTGATTGTGATTCGCTATCATTGATCTGTAATGTTTTCAATAATCTCCAATGTTGGTTCTCGTAATTGATTTAACACTTTTCGAGCTTCATCATTGCTGTCAATTACAATGAGTATATCGCCACGAATATATATTGTGTATTCATGCCCATCTGTCGGTGCAATAAATTGAAGGATAGTTTTTTGCTTATTGTTTTCATCACGAGTCAAACGAAATTCACTGCCCCAAATAAGATAATTCATCGGTGCAGCTGTTGCGGCCCGATCGCAAGCAATTGATTTTAAGCGATTGACGGTGGGATAATCTTCAGTTGCAAGGTAATGATATGATTTTTCGTTGACAACTATGCAATGCCGATTGTTCATGAGATGAACACGACGAGTCTGCGGATTGTAGACGAAAATAGAAGAATTGCTTTCACAACCGTTTCGTCGGCTGTCAGTATTAGCAGGAGGAAAGTATACAGCATCTAAATAAACAATGAAAACAAGTTTTACGCTGCGCATTTGTTTTAACGAAGTCGACTGAATATGTTAATACTGTAAAAGAGAATATTGAAATCAGACTCTTGTTTCACTCAAACTGAACGAATCAAAAGATAAGAAAATGAATCTCAAGCTTGAATAAGTATCTTTTTTTTAAATAACTTTTGTTAAGAACAGAATGGTGAGCTACGGTTTTTATTATTAGAGAGGCTTATCAAACGGGTTGATTCACATAAAATGGTGGAATTTGATTTCTTAAATAAGTAGTCATTTATAGTCAGCTTGAAAGGGTAGATTGTTGCTGTACCAAGATAGAACATATCTGAAAATTTGAGAAGTGGCCTAGAATCAGGAATAGATTAGTTACAAATCTACAAGAGGCTGAAACTTTTATTTCAATTTAATCGAGTTCTTCTCAGTTTTATGTTGGGCGGAATATTTTCAAGTTATAATTAATGATGTTTTTGATCATGTCACAATAAAACCATAAAAAAATAAAGAAAAGACGAAAAAGAGCAAATTATATTCATTCTTTTACAATCATTCACATCATCTTTCTTCACTTTCATTTTTCCGTTTACTTTCTTGCATTCTTCTTTCTATCATTTCTAATTTACGCAAACGTCGAATTTCAATACGAACCTCGCATTTCAGGATAGACATCAGAGAGACTATTAGAAGGATCTTCTGATGATTGATCGGTAGCACAACGAATTTCTTGAAAATTTCGACCAAATCCTCCAGACCATCGAAAGAACACTAGTGTTGACTTTGTACTTTCATTGCTCACAAAGTCATTAATGGTGGTGGCATTCACTACGACAAAAAGTAGCCAAAATAGATAACAGTAACAGTTGAATCGATCATTACTATTCATTGTTACCACGTAGAACGTTACCTTGTAATGTATGTATGAATGAAGGATATAGATGTGCACGCGTAATATGGAGTGAACAGAGCAGTGTACGAATCTACACGAGTTTCTCTCTTTCTTTTTTTTTCTTTCTCTTTCGGCAGCTTAATACTATATTCATCATCGATTCAACGGCTATTTGAGACATTTTTATAAAGCATTTCTCTTTCCCTTTCTCGCTTGTATGACCTTTACGTGACCCTAATATAGAGATACAACGGTAACGATCCATCACTAGTTCACTGAAACGAGATCGACCGACGGCCGCTTCTCAGGCAACCGATCTTAACCATAGTGTTTTAAAAGAGATAATTTTAATGAAATCTCGCTATTTGAGGAATGTGTAGCTATTTAAAACTTTCGATTCTTCTATTATCGCTATCATACGATTGAAAACAAAAAGAAATAATATTTATTGATTCTAGTAGTTGAATAGTCATTTTATCACTTTGTATTTTATTAACTAATGCTATAAATTATATTTCTAAACTTATTTATCTATTAAGTAATTTGCATGTTGTGGGTGTGTGTATGAGACAATATAACTACCCACAACCACCTCATTTTTTCTTTCTTGATAATGGTGAAGGATATCACTGGAAATTCGAATGAAATAGCCATTGAATTTTGGAGAAATTCCATGTATTGTGGAGTAGTTATTTACTCATTTATTTTTACTGCTGTGCCTGATGGATTTAAGAAGGAAACAAACTTATTACAAAAGAAAAGTAAAAACAACAAAACATTCATTCAATAATTTCGTTGAATTGATATTATATTTAGTTTATTTCAGAAGGATGACCAAAAGTGCTAATATAGACGATAGCGATTCAGATTTTGACATGGAATTACAGGATTGGATGATTGACACCATAGATGAACAAGTAAGATGACCTTACCATACTTTTTGAGTTAAAAGGTTGTGTTTAGATAAAACTTGAATAAAAAAAAGTTGAATCTTTGAAAAAAAAAATTGCAGTAGCTGTGTCTAGTATGGCATCAAAACAATACCAAGATGATCTTGAAGCTGCACAGAATCGTTTGAAACATTTAATTAAGAAAAAAGGTAACAACATTGTTAACTTTATATTTCTCTAAATTATTTTTTGTTTAGAAAAAAAGAAGGAAACAAAGAAAATAGCATTACGTAACAATAATGCTTAGTGTAGTAATTATTTTTTCAATTTTTTTCTCTGTAATAGTTATCTTTTCTTTTCTTCGACAAAAGTTTTCTTTTCCTAGCAATGACGATGATTCCTGGAGCAGTATTCTGGAAATTTCCGGCTGAAACCTCAGAAAACATGTCGTTTTTGGCCGGAATTGGGTAAATTCTGTGACTGGATCCGTTCACCGAGATACTGCCTCCATGAGATCTCCAGAATTACCGGGAACGGACCGTTTCCGTGTCGGATTGTTCGACCTGGGTTATACAAATTCAAAAAGGTTTGAAAAATAAAAAAGAAAAGATTAATTTAAATAATTCACAGTTTTATCTTCAGATCTTAAACGTTTACATGCAATAGTACTCAATCTTTTTGAAGCGTAAAATCTATTAGCGAAATAGTTTAATGAAAATCATATATATCTTTTTTTTTATTAATTTAGTAGTGGTTTACTTACAGGTATTTACAATTATTGTAGCATTTCATTAACTTTTAAGAACAGAAAATTAAGATTACGTTTTCTAACTAATGAGTAAGAATAATAGAAAAACAAATATTGATTTCACATATAAACGATAAAGGAATAGTTTATGCTTTCTGGTTAAAAATTTATTTTCTTATTATTAGAAAGAATAAAGAAAATGTATTGAAACTTCTCAATATTTTTCATATTAATTTATTGTATTTTCTTTTATTAACTAGGTAAATTTGTTCTAAATATTCCAACATCTATTGAAGCTGCATCTGTATGCATACAAAACAATTATAAAAGACACCGCAATATCACAAATATATAAAATACTTTTTTATGCAACAATTAGTTTTACTAAAATATTTAGTCTTAAATGATTAATTCAACAAAAAAACACTATTGCTGTTATTCATCTAAAGGCAGAAGCGTCATCTCAAATATTATATTCTTTTCGCAATAATGAATATGCGACAGCAACACCAAGACCGAACGAAGAAATATTAATAACCAGGTCAAAAGCAACGGCAACGTAAACGATGTGAAAACCGTTATTTTGTCATCGCCGTAATCCGGCATCCCAGAAAACGGTAAAAATAGTATGAAAAATGGTAGCCGTTGTCTAGCAAAAAAGAACGGCTACTTTTCTGGGATGACGAATTACGGCAAAATACCATCGGAATTAATGCAGTGATACACTAATTTTTAATCGTTTTAGGCTGGTTAACACGCCGTTTTCGATGGTCGGAATGATCGTCCTGCGTATACTCGGACAAAATAATAAACATGTTAAAGTATCACAATCAAGCATTACTGACTGTTTAAATAATTACAATTTATTTTCCAACAGCTCACTAAGATAATGAAGAAAAAGTTACAGCATTACTTCAGTATCATGCACAAAATATTGATGAACAAAGATATGAAATTTATCCAAATGAACATTTTCAATGTTTAATAAATTATCATTGTGAGAAAAATATTTTAATAGACCAATCTTCAGATGATCCAATGTTATAATGCAATATTGTCGTCTGTTATTTATTAGTTTTTTCAATTATTTTAATCAATTAACTAATTCAATTGTTCATTGTCATACAATAATATCGACTGACACAAACATATATATTCAAGAAAATGATAAAGAATTTATTTTATCTTGAAGGAGTGGGTATGGATGTGATTATACTAAGATATATTCACCTTCACAGCCACACCCACACTCACAATGATAATAATCGTTTATTTAATTTTTTGAACGAGTTCAATGATTTAGCAAATCAAAAAAATAAATAAATGAAAAACAACGAAAATCTTCCAATGATAATTAGTTCAATAGAAATCAAATGTCTAGTCTTTCTCTAATTTTTCTGTTATAATATACATATAAATATATCTATATTTTGTGTCTGTATGTGTATGTATGCCAGTAATTGTTATGTATTTCGACTTTTATGATAAAACAAAATAAATAAAGTTTTAACATAATAATCAATTGTTTGAAAAATTAAACTTTGTTGATTTTAGATTATTTTATAAGATAAATATTTTTCAAATTAGTTAATAATCTTTTGTATATAATGAAAAGTGTGAGTATGCGCGTGCATGAGCGAAGATGTGAAAAGTATCGTAATCATTCATCCATACCCTCACCTATCAATTTCAATCAGAGATGTTATTTTCAGAGTTTTACTTGTGGATATATTGAATTTTGAGTTGAAATCATATATATTTTTCATGTTTCGTAGAAAAATACATCAGATGGCGATAAACAATTTTGCTTTTTATATATCTAATGAGTTTGTATTTTATAATACATCGAAATACTCAAAAGAGGAAGCTTCTCACAAAAATACTTATTGAGCATAGAGTAATAAAGAACGTGATTAAAAATGGGTCCTGACAAAACAGATTATTTAACAGACTCAAATAAAAAAGGGTGGGGTGGGGTGGGTGTGACTAGTTTAACATACTATTACCCACACCCACACCCTCGAGCTACCCGAAGTTATATCTAATTATATTGCGTGAAATACTTTATATTTCACATCTTTCGTGTGATAAAAGTTCGTTTGAACCTTTCAAAAGAAAAATATTTACAATCTTCAAGTCACTTATTTATTCAGATTATGTGAGGATTTTTATATTAACTATCCATCTGTAACAGAACTTCGATTTAAATATTTAAAGATAAAAAGAATTACGGAATCTTCAAATGGCTGTGATTCATTGCAATTCGTATATCTTCTTTTCTGTTTCTTTCGTTCCATGTTGCACCACGCAAAAAATGGATATACGAACTTTCTCATATAGACAACGTGCAATAACGACAGAACGAAAAAAAGGCACTGCTAGTTGTTCCATCTCTAATATGCTTCGTTTTGACAGCAAAACAGCGTTTCTCGAACTCACTTACATGGACACTACATGTACACCTTTATCGAGTAATGATAAAATGAATAATCGTTCTTCGCAGAAGAAAACGAAAGAATATGCACATTGCCTATCAAACAAAAGGAAGATATTGATTGGTTATGTGATGAATTGTGACAGTAACTGTCTACCGCTTTCGGCACGATGGTGTCGTCGGCACACTCACAACTGTGTCCTTTCTTTATTAAATGCAACTGATATAGATGTGATCACACAGGAGAGAGAGCAAAGCGAAAAGATCAACCATCGGTCAAAAGGTCACACAAGTGAAGCATAAAGGTCAATAACCGCTATAGATTGGACAGAGAATTTTCTTTTCTTGAGTTGCGAATGGCTGAAAAATATTCGCGATAATACGACTGAAGCAAAACTATCAAGAGATATTATAGTGACCGATGCCATGTATCATTACTCGTCATGTCCGTATTAAAGGACGTATATCGAACTCGTACATTCATATGTGTAGACATATCACTTATTCTTTTGCAATGCAATTTTGGTCCGATATTTTTCTGTTCATATCGCATGCATTAGATCATTCTTCGAATTAAGCATACCAACAATAATTTCGACTGCCATTTAAAAACGTCCATCTTCTTTATTAATATATCTATTTAACGTTTTTTTTAAAATTAATCCATAGGTGTGTCTGAATTCTTTTATAGACAATATTGTTCTTTAACTATCTCTCTACTACAAAACCAATGAATACTAATTCCAGTTTATCACCAACAACTAAAAATCCAATACTTATAAATACATCTTCAAATTTGAATATGATGCAAACAGCTATATCTCATCATGAACAATATCAATCAATTAATGATAATCTTTTTCTAGCATCAAATGATGTTTCATCATTAGTTAATAGTACGATATCATCATTAACATTTTCTAACTCAGTTACAAATTCAATGGCTCATAATGAATATTCATGGATGAGACAAGGTATTCATAAAAATGATGTATTGAAAATACATAACTGTATATAACATATAGAAATGATTAATATGAAGACGTTCTTTCTTTTTTATTTATAGAATTTAATTCTGAATATAAACGTCCTCGAGCACCTTATACACGTCATCAACTACTTGAATTAGAAAAAGAATTTCATTATAATAGGTAAGAAAAGAATATTTTTATATTTATTTATAAATATTAATAGATATTTGTCACGTTGGCGACGAATTGAAATTTCTGATAGAATTGCACTAACTGATCGACAAATTAAAGTAATAAAATCTTGTTTTTTCTTATGTTAATCTATTCGTTTTCTCTTCTTAGATTTGGTTTCAAAGTCGGTAAGAATAAATCGCGAGTTTTTTTTAAATTTATGATTTTTTTTCTTTTACATTAGTCGATATAAATGGAAACATGATAGGTATAAATCACGTAATGATTCACATGTTCAATTTGAAGAAAATGCAATAAATCATGGTCAAAATGGTGCTATATCAACTAATGACACATCATGATCATCGATATCAAATGTTAGAAAAGAAAATAACCATCCATATAATATTAATGGAAATATTCAACTGTATATATAAAGACTTTTGCTTACTATGTCGATCGCAATAGAATGCATGCTTTTCGTTTTGTTCTTTAAAGATTAAAAAATAAATTGTCAAATATTGTTTTATTAAAGCCGTCGTCATCTGAATTGCAGGATGTTTCAGTTAGTACTATACGACAGAAATAAGATTTAAAGAGCTTTTAAATGAATTACTAGTTCCTACCCGAGCGCGACAATATCTGGGTATACAAGGTTTTATTTTATAGTAATAAATAATATTCTGTTAGTTTTTTTCACCGTTTCACCTAGTAATAACTGTTTCACGGCGAGTCGATTTTCCGAGGAAAATAGCTTCAACGTTTTAATTTTCATGCATGTCGACGCATCCTGCAAAATGTGCGTGTTCCCCCCCCCCCCCCCAGGTTAAAAATATACTTGCAAAAAAAAGGAGAAAAACAACGATGCATGAGCAAATAACTCTTCTTAGTTCTTAACATTATTACCGTCCGCAATCTTTTTCTTCCTAGTATTTCGTTCTTGCACAAGCTTGTGTACACCGATGAGTAAAACACTCGATATAACCAATGTACTTCCAAGTAATATCCATAAATTTGACTTATTGTTTGTGAAGAAATTCTGTAAAAGAATAGCATATAGAATTTCTGATGCTGAGACAATTGTAACAATAGATGGTGGTTCACGTTTTACGGCGCGAATTCCACAGATTACTGCAAGACTTTGTAGTAAACTAATTAGTGTAGCTAACCAATATTTCCAACGAAAAATTGTCAATGTAAAGAGTGTCACATCGTTTAGTAGAAAATATTTATAAAATTGATTGAATATAAGACATAGGAAAACGATACAGGAATGTTGGAGAACTAAAACACTTGGTTTCAGTTTCAAAGTTATCAATTGTTTAAAGATTAGAAGATTGATTGCAGATAGAAGACCTATTGCCAGCGAAAGAGAGATACCAATCATTCGCCTGTTCAACGAATATGCATTTGCTGTGTCCGTTTCATTTAATGTTGCTAGTGTCATATTTAGAGCAGTTTCCGCTACTTTTTTTTGTTTAAAGAGAAATGTTGGTTGTGCTACGAATACAACACCGATGAATGTGAAGCAAACAGCTAAAAGAATCATCATTGTCGGTTTCTCTTTATAGATGAGTATACCAAAGGCAACCGTCCATAATAAACGCGTAAAGTTGAGTGTTGTCAAATCAGGCAGAGGAAGGTAACGAACACTAATAAAATATCCGAGAAAGAAGAAACCATTTAGAATACATAAGACAAACTGTAGCCATTTTTCTTTTAATGAGCCTACCCATACTGGATAGTGATGGTATATAACGAAGATTACAAACAAAGGAATCTGTACGATAAAACGTATGATAAGTGCATCGAGTGGATCAACTTGCAATTCTTTAATAATGAATGTGCCTGTGACGAAGAGAAAGGATCCTAGAAGACCGTACAGAATGCCAGACAGAGCGAACGATTTTGACGCAGCCGCCGTTTCACCATCATCGCCTTCTTCTTCTTCATCTTCTATCACTAACACAATCGGCTCTATCGCCGCGAGTACAGATAAACTACGTTGAGTCCTTGTAACGTTATCATTGTCAATAGAAGATGAAGGTACTAACAGATGCTGCTGATTACTATTATTCCGTTCTGTTAGATGCATGTTGATATTTTCTGTTTGATGCGCAGATTTTTAAATGAAATGAATTATATGATGCTAATAAATTAAAATTTTGCAGTACAGAAACAAAAAAAGAGAACAGTGTATAGTCTTTTCTTGTATGATTACTTATTCAGAGGAGTGTCATAAAACAATAAAGATATCAGTTCAAATGAGAAAAGAAGTAAATATTCAAGACGAAGAAGGATAAAAATCAACCTTGATGATAAAAATAAAACTGATTCTCGTCTTAAGTGCGTGCGTGAAAGGACTTTTACCTTAATATTAGTCACAAAAACTAAGATTCTATCTCCGGTGTTCTAGAGGGTGTAGGTGTGAATACTCTAGTATGTGAGTGGGTGGGTGGGGATTTGGATCAAGAGTACACCTACACCCACACCCTCAAGATATTCTATTTTTTCTTCGGTTATTTGACTGTTGGGCCACCCTGAACATGAAAGCATTAAAAAATCTATCAAAACGTCACGTTGTTAAGTAAAATACAAAAAGTCGAAAAACTTTACTAAATTAATCCAGTTTAAAGCTCTTCAAATATTCATAGTGCTTTTTTCGATGTTCACGAATGATTAAAAAAGTTTTTTATTTAAAAAGCAAAAGATCTCTTCGCAAAGTAAATACAAGTGAATATCTATCGAAAGTCCACTCAGAAAATCTAAACCTAGAAAACTATATGTTCGTTGTATGTAAAATAATTGTTATTATATAATATATACATTGAATTTTGTTTGTAAATAATGTTCTAAGAAATAACCGATCTTTCACTTCTTCCTCCACATCCCTCACATGGTAAGGTAACACCATAGGTACCTAAACAAAAATGCATATAATAAATATTTCCAAAATGCTCAATTCACATACATTTATCACATATTCCACAGTGCCATTCTCTCCAATCCATACATTCTTGACATTTAATACAATGCCATTTAAGATTTTCTTGAACTAAATAATCTTGACAAAAAGAATAATAACGTCCTGTTGTCTCATCATCAGATAAAAGCATTCGAAAAAGTGTTTGCATATGAGCCAACTTGTGATCTTGATCGATCATTTTCCACTTTTGTGTCCATTCTTCGAAATCTTCCTCGATAGAACAAACTTCAGAATAACTAAAAATACAATTTGAAAATGTTGAATAAATAAATAAAATATTTACTTATCACATTCTATAATAAGTTGACATAATGCACGACGATTAATTGTTTTTAATCCATCGGTATTCTTAGCTTTTTTGATAAGCCATTTTGTAAAACAAGGATGAGCAGATAATTTGGTATCTTCGCCGAAGAAATATTCCAGATGATTAAACATATTCTCACATGATGAACTACATCCACATGATGAATTACATCCACTACCGAATTGGAAACAAGAACAACTACGCTTTGAACATCCTTTTGTACAACTACATTTCTCCTTTTTTTCTTTATTCGGATTTTCTTCTGTAATATCAACACTCGTTGGACTTTGTTGATCATCTTCATCTGAATATTCCTCGCTTGACATAGTCGAGAACAGTATGTTAAGTCAATGAAATTTTCTGGAATTAGAACAATCGATCGTTCTGAACATTATTCTATAGGCATTATTTGATATAATATGGATAACCGTTCAAGAGATTTCGAGGACATTCATCGATGATACTTCAGTTTTTTTTAGATTACGTGTTTTTTTGTTTAAATGAAAGCTAAGTAATTTACCTATTTGAAATACGATGGATTTTTGTCGAGAAGTTCTTCCAGAGAAAGATGACGCTATACAATGGTCTTCAACTATCAAGTCAAAAAAGTTGCCGTTGTAGCTTGAGGGTGTGGGTTTAAATAAATTTTTCTTCTTTATTCACATTCATCCAGATCGACACCCACACCCACACCCACCCTCAAGATGGAAAAACAACTTCGAGTTTCTTAATTTTACTAACAGATACTTTAAGATTCAGTTTTGAAGTCTTTTGAAACTACGACAACTCATTCAAGTATGATACGTTTTTAGTATTCATGAAGAGAAGCGCACAACAAATTCTAAAGAGATAAGCAAAAAGACAAGTTGGGCTTCGTGCATAACTGATAACTGAGACTACTGTTTTTTCTGTTTCTGTGCATGCCTTTTCAGGTTATCATTGATGATAATATCACACATTCTTCAAAATGATGTACGCTTACATTGCCTTCATCATTATTTTTACAAAACTAGTCAGCATTCAAACTGAGCCTAATGGTGTCACTAGAACTTGGGATGAAGCTATTGTTCTTGCGAAAAGATTTGCAGCCCAACTGACTTTAGAAGAAAAATGCAATATGACTGAAGGTGTTGCAAGTGATTGTACCGGATTTGTTTCACCTGTTTCACGTCTTAATTTTAGTGGTTTTTGTTTGCAAGGTTCACAATCGGGTGTTGGTGACAGTGTACAATTCTCTACAGCATTCGTTGCTGGTATTCATATTTCAGCTAGCTGGGATCGTGATCTCTTCTATCGACGTGCTGTTGCCATTGGTCAGGAATTTCGAGGAAAAGGGATCCATTATGATTTAGGACCTATGGTGAACATAGATCGAAATGCCCTTCATGGACGTAATTGGGAAGGATTTGGCTCGGATCCATATCTTTCTGGCGAAAATGCCTATTATTACGTTCAAGGTGTTCAAAATCAAGGTGTTGTAGTCACTGCAAAACATTATATTTGCAATGAACAAGAATCCAATCGTACCTATTATCCGAAAACCGGACCCAGTCAAGGTTATTCAGCGAATCTCGATGATAAAACTATGCATGAAATTTATTTGTGGCCATTTGCTGAGAGTGTTGCAGCCGGAGTTGGTTCCGTCATGTGTTCCTACAATCAAATTAATGGAACGCAAGCATGTCAAAATAGAGAAACTTTGAATGAACTTTTGAAAGGAGAACTTCAATTTCAAGGTAATGTTATGTCCGATTGGGGAGCGACAAAAGTCGGATTAGAATCTGCGTTGAGTGGATTGGACATGAATATGCCCGGTCAAGATGGACTTATGGGCTATGCTCTTCTTCTAGCTGTCAAAAATGGATCTATCACAGAAGAAAGAATAAACGATATGGTAATTCGAATTATGACACCATATTTTTTGCTTGGACAAGATCAAGATTTTCCACCTATCAATTTAGATTATGATGCTATGAAAGATCATTACTTGCTTAATCGACATCTTGGTATGGCAGGTATGATTCTACTTAAAAATATCAACAATACTCTGCCATTTAGTGTCAATACAGACAAAATCTATTCTATTTATGGATCAGCAGCAAGTCGTTATATTGACGGTATTGATAGACCGATTAATATTGTGGGATTGGATGGTGCTTTATATCAGGGTGGAGGTTCAGGCTACGTCCGTCCAACATATGCTATTGATCCTCTCACTGCGCTTCTTATACATGCTCGAGATTTTCATCTACAAATTCAATACATTGTCGATCAAGATGATTATGTTTCTATAAATCGTTCGTTGGACAATAGAAAGTTTTCAGGAGGAAAATGTCTTGTTTTTATCAATGCTTGGTCATCAGAAGGACGTGATCGTCATAATCTTTTTGCTTATCATGATGGTGACAAGTTAATTAATACGGTAGCTGCGCGTTGTGCATCAACAATTGTTATTGTCAATAGTGTTGCACAACTTAATCTCGAAGGTTGGATTGAACATCCAAATGTTACCGGTGTTATTTGGAGCGGTTTATCAGGTCCAGAGTATGGACCAGCTATTGTTGATGTTCTTTACGGTGAATATAATCCAGGTGGTAAATTAGTGTTCACCATAGCTAAAAATGATTCGGATTATGGAACTAATATTACTAACACATACAACTCGAATTATACGGAAGGTGTTTTCTTAGACTACCGCCATTTTGATAAATATAATATCACACCACGCTTCTATTTCGGCTATGGAATTTCCTATACGAACTTTTCTTTCTCGGAATTGACGATTTCAAAAGTTAATCAACAGAACCATATTTCACTTTATAGACAGCGCCGTTCAGCGTCTTATAATAATAAAGATTTATTAGGAATGTATGAACCTGTTTATACGATTAGTTTTACTATTTCAAATATCGGCAATGTTGATGGTTCCGAAGTACCCCAACTCTACCTCGGTTTTCCAGAAGAAGCAGCTGAACCACCAAAAATTTTACGCGGTTTTGAACGAGTTTATTTGGCAGCTGGCGAATCAAAGATAGTGACTTTGGTATTAAGACAACGAGATATTTCATATTGGAATAATATCGATCAAAAATGGACTGCTGCTTCTGGAGAATATACAGTTTGGATTGCAACATCAGCTAATAATGCTGACATTAAACTCGAAGGCTTTTTTCATATTTAAACACTAATTAAATAAAACTACTTGCCAGTTAGACACATACACAGGCACATGCATACCCACACCCTCGTAGACTCCAAATTTGGAGCTCACTTAACTTGACCCGAAATATACTAACGAAGCCCCTCAATAAACTAATCATATTCATATTTATGAATTTATAAAAAAATTAATTGATTCTTTCTCTCATAATAATACAAAGTTGATCAAATATATAAATACAAAAAAAAACAGTATCGAATCTTTCTTTTAGTGATTAAATTGTTGATCTGAGCGTCAGTAAAAAACAGAAACTCAAATAATGACAGAAGGCCGTATGCCAGCAAATAGATTAAGTATTGAAAAACTACCTCGTCATCGAAATTCTCTTAACCATCAAGTAAATTTTGTGATCATTCTTTTGTTTTTATTATTGATTGATATATTAATTTAGAGTTCTTTACCTACGATATTAAATACTCAAAGGACATCAGTTATCCATGTATCTGTTAGACCACGTCAAAGTGTTCGTTCAATTCTAAATCATAAAGATAATAAGGAGAATAATAATGTAAGAAGATCTCTAATCATTTTGTCTTTATTTTATTTCATATTTATATAGAGTTTGTCACATTTAACAGTTCATCAAAAATTCCAGGTAAGACTAAACAGATTTAAAGTATTATCAAAATACGATGAAAATAATCTATTTGTTTTCATTATAAAAGAACAAGAAGCTGATCAAAGTCATTCTTTATTGTTTGTCATACGTCTAGTTTTCTTTTCTTTGGTTTCTTCAATAATAGTACATTTTAAATTAATTCGATGAAGAAACATCGAAATAACAAAATATGAATTTGTCACCTATGAAAAAAATAATCTTTTCTTTTGGTGACAGTTTACTTTCTCAAAAGTTTGTTCATAGTGAAAAAGACAACAAACTAATTAACATAGAAAAATTGAATGAACCTATCGAAAAAGAAAATATTTTAAATATTTATTATAGTTTCATCAAAATCCATCGAAAAGTATTAATATTCCAAATGCAACAGGAAAAAATATTGATCATCAAGTAGTTCAACGAATCTTTTATTTTAAAATATAAATATTTATCTTCTAGAATAATATTAGCAATCAATCGACATCAAATATTCATATTATAGACAAAAATGTAAGATTTCATATTATTTTTTGTTTCATTCTATTCAATAATCTTCGAAATATAGCGATCGGAAACAATAGAAGCTTTAAGAAATCCAATAAATGATCATCATCGTTCAATCAACAATAAAAAGAAACAGTAAATACAATTATTACAACTTAATTAGTTCATAATATTTAACATAGGAATTTTATTGAATATTGTTGTCGATGTTCACGACGACGCGCACTAATGTCTTTTATTACTCTTCTTTATCTTATACTTCTTGGTATAATTCTAGCTATTATTCTTATTATTCTAATGAGAAAAACAAAAAAAACTACAAATATACCTTGTAAATATAATTTTAACATAGAAAACGTTTTTTCTTATTATTGTTGTTTTAACTCTTGAAGCTTATCTTCGATGGAATACAAGTGGTATAACTGTATTTGGTACTGCAAGCTTGAGAGGAAATACATCGTATCAGCTTGCTTACCCTTGTGGTATAGCATTTGATTCATTTGGAGATCTTTATATTAGTGATTCAGTTAATAATAGAATTCAAAAATGTAATATCAGAAATTTAACTTGTACAACAGTGGCTGGTCAAGCAAATGCAGTGTCAGGAACAAATATGAGCTATTTGCATGGTCCAACATTTTTCTATATTGATACAAATTATAGTTTATATATAGCAGATTCAACTAATGAACGAATTCAATTATGGAACTATGGTGCAACTTATGGAAACCAAATTGCGGGTATTACAGGTTAATAACTCCTTTTTTTCTTATAGAAAAATGATTAATGTCGATAAAATTTTTTAGATGTTACTGGCTCTGGATTAAATCAGTTTAATATTCCATATGGTACTGCTATGGATCCAAATTCTAATACAATATATATATCTGACTTTAATAATCATCGTATTATGAAATATTCATCTGGTAATTTAACAGGTACTGTTATTGCTGGTGGAAATGGTTTAGGAATAAATAATACACAATTGAATTATCCTGCTGGTCTTCTTTTCGATTCATCAACAAATAGTCTTATTATTTCAAATAATGGTGCAAATAATATTGTTCGATGGAAAATAGGTGATTCTAAATGGACAATAATTGCTGGAAGTTCAACAGGATTGACTGGTACTGATTCAATAAGTTTTAATCATCCAATAACTGTTACCTATGATCCAATGGGTAATATGTACGTAGCAGATACGTTAAATCAACGTATACAATTATATTTAGTTGGTCAATCAAATGGAACAACAATTGCAGGAATTTCAGGTCAACTTGGAAATAGTTCAACTATGTTATACTATCCTACTTCAGTTGCATTTGATAATCAACTTAATTTATATGTTGCGGATGAATTAAATCAAAGAATACAACAATTTTTACGTTATTAAATTAATTAATGCTTTTTATGTTTTTTTTGGCTATTGAAAATGATATACAATTTAAACAAATATAATTATTATAGAAACCATAATCAATCATGTTTTGTTTTTTCAATATTCTTTATTCATTGATTAATAATAAAATATAAATCATATTCTGTTTATTTACAATATTCTTTCTATTGTTTTCCTTTCTTTCAAATCAAATAGTAAATCAATTTATAGAATTTTTATAAACGAAACTAATACAAAATGAAAATGTATTATTACATATTAATAGAAATCAGAAGGATTTGATTAAACTATGCATTTACTACTAATTCTTCGAAATCATAATACATGTTTAAATAATTTATCTATTCTATTAAATCTCTGATTATTTTATTTAATTAATAAGAAATTCGAATCACTTATTGTTGGAATATCTGTATTTTCAAATTAAAAAAGAAAAATTCTATGAAAAATGCGAAATAAATCTATTATTATTATTTTTTTTATTAAAAACGTTTTCTAGGAGAAAACCTATATAAGTTTAATTTTTACATCTTTAACTAAAGTTTCTAATTGTAAAAAAATTGAATCAAATGAATCATTTAAACAAATAATTTTATCAAATAAATGTGAATAATTTTGTGTAATTTCAATCCATTGTTGTTCATTAACATAAAAATATTCTCTTTTCTTCTCTTCTAAAAAATTCAACAAAAGTTTAACATTCGTTTATTCGACTTTTTTAATGAAAACTTACTAATTAAATTCGAGGTTGATAAAAAATCAAACCGATTTTTCTTCGTTATTTTCTTATCAAAAATTGATTGTATTTTTTTGCATTGATTTTCAATAATAAAACTTTATTTTTCCTTTTATTTCTCAATCATTTATTCAATAAAAATTTTTTTCTTTTATTCAATATCAAAATTTCATTCACAAAATTATTTCAAATCTTTGAATTCGATGATTAAAATGATCAGCAACATAAAGATTTCCTTCGTTGTCAAAAGATAAACCTGTGGGATCATTCAATTGATTTGATTGAATTCCTCCTCCATTTCCACCGACAACAATTTCACCTTCTTCTTTTCCTTCAAACCAACGCATTATTCGATGATTCCCACTATCTGCCACATAGACTTGACCCAAATCATCAACTATGACTCCATAAGGATGAGACAATTAATTGAGATTTTCTCCTTCATCGTTTTCTCCAGCCACAATTCTTCCTTCTTTTGCATATTTTATCCATTTCATCACACGATGATTACCTGCATCTGTTACATAAACAGATTGATCTTCATCAACAAAGATAAAAGTAGGAATACTGAATTGATTGAGTTGATCTCCTTGTCCATTTCCACCTGCCACTACAATTCCTTCATTGTATTCTCCCATTTTCCACCGTCTCACTTCATGCCTAACCCAATCAGAAACATAAAGAAATCCATTTTTATCCATTGCCAAGCCATTGCAGTCAATATTGTCAATCAAAATTTGTTGATTTTGATTCAACCATTGAATCACTCGTCTGTTACCCAAATCAGCAATGATGATCAAATAATTTTGTGAATCAACAATCACATCTGTTGGTAGATACAACTGATCCATTCGATTTCCTTGTCCATTTCCACCTGCAATGATTTGTCCTTCCTTTGCATTATATTTCCATTCAACAATACGATGATTATTAGCATCAGCAATAAAAATATTTTTTTTTCATCAATAAAGATCCCAAAAGGGCGATTGAGTTTATTTAATTGTTGTCCTTGTCCAATTTCCACCAGCTACAGTGATGGCATTTTGTTTCCATTTATAACTGATCTTATCTAAAACAAATGAGATTTGTAGTTACATCTATCAGTTCTCGAGTCACTCACTTGTCTTTGGTGGACAGATATTTTGTTTACTCAGTGCAACTGGATAACAAAGAGGTAGTTCATGACATCGAGGATGTTGAACACAGACTGTATTGAGTTGAGTACATGAATTGGTTGAAACGTTACACGGTACGAGATGAGAACATGTTGGCCAAAGAAAGCCACAAACGCCTGCATCATCATTAGTACCTACCCTGTGGAAACAACCACAGGCACTATTTGTCGAGCATCGATCATACTGAGCAACATTCTCACATATTTGAGATTTGATTTAAACTATGAAAGTGAGAAGCTAATACATATAAATATATAAAATAGAATAGAAATCAAACCTGTGATGCTAAAATATGAAATCAATGGATGTTAACAAAACTAGTGATAAAAATGAATAAGTATTTACCTGAGAAGAATGAAACCGACGAAGCAGTAAATATTGATTGTAGCCATAGTTGATTTTAGAATAAGAGAATATGATGAAAAAATGTGTATTTTCATTTCTAAAACACCGAGAGAATCTTAAGTGAATCAGATTGAAATATAACAGATGCATCTATTCACATATCGATAAGTGGAAATTCGATATTCCATTCATTTTTTCTAATTGTTGTGATTCTATCCTATAACAAATACAATAAAAATGTACTTAAAAAGTGCATAGATAATCATGTGATAAAGTGAAGATTCAACTAGTATTAGTATATTTTCAAAGAGTGAAATATTTATGAATAACACGAGGAGTAGGTAGTTTTAAGACCCGTATTCAGCAGCTATAAAATTTTATTCTCTTTAGTAAGATAAAAGTCATGATTGTCAGCAATGCAGTCAAAGATACAGCTCTGAGGGTTTCATTAGCTTTCAATCTAAGAATAAAATAATCAGTATTCAATGAGCGTTCCTATTATTAATTAACCGTACTATTTCAACGAATTGAAAACTGTCAAAAATCAATAATTAATTTGTAATCAAGTTTTCTGCAACATTGTGTATATCAAAATAGATAAATATTTAGAAAAATTGTGGACATTCTGTTTTTTTGTAATTATCTATGTTTGGTATAAATAGATGAAAAATTAATTCAAAACAATATTTGAACGTATGTCAATAGATTTTTTACACATTAGTAATGCTGATAAATAATCTTTCGAAAAGAAATAATTTGATGCAATATTATCGTAGAATGTAGATATTTCGAGCACAAGACGATCGGTTGGTGGTTAATTTTCAATAAACAATTGTTTTATTTCTAAAAGGGTGTGGGTGTAGTATTGGTGTGCGTGAGGATGTTTGTTACATCTTTCATCCACCCTAAACCGATCTCTACTTATCTACACCCACCCACACCCCGCCCTCACCCTCGTCCTTACTAACACCACGCCCTCACCCAACCCCACCCTTCTGTACTAACCAAACTGGTTCATGCAAACATTCCATAAAAATTAGTTCGATTATTCGAAGGAAACTTTCTATCCCAGAATGTAAGAGCAAGTTGGAATAGCAGATATCTTGGCTTTAGTGAAAAAATAGTTGATTCCAGTTAGTTGTACAGCTTGATTAGAAAATATTTTTTGTCGGGCTAACAGTAAAAATACTGAAAAAAACTTCAATTAAAGTCCCTCTCGATATTCTTTGATGATGGCAAGGTTGACTTGCAATTCGAAAAAATCTTCATTCGAGCCGCCCTTGTCCGGATGCTTGACCAAGGCCAGTCGTCTGTAGGCCGCATTGATGTCGCCGATGGAGCACGATTGCGTCAAGCCGAAATAGCGATAGGCATTTTCCAGCGCCACGCTTCGTGGAAGATTGAACAGTTTCTCTGTGAGTTGTTTCGACAGCTGCGATGCTGCCAAGCAACCGATGACTCCGCCAATAAAAAAGCCAACACCGGCACCTATCGGACCAAATATGGAACCAGCGGCCGCCCCGACCCAGGCACCGCCCATTCCTCCTGCCACCGTTGCCACGTCATCGAGCAAATTTTTCACACATCGCTGACCCGAGATTTCTCCCTTCCACCATGCACGGATGTTCAGAATTGCCTCGTAGGTTAGTTTAGGAGCAATGATTACCGCCGGTGCCAGAGCTCCTTTTGTAAACATAGAAAGGAAGGCGAAAGGAGCATGCGTGCTAGCCGACCACAATTCACCGTTGTTCGGATCGCGGGAGTTACGTACCGGAATCAGTTCTTTGGCCACAAGCGAAAAGTCACGTGATCCCATCGATGAAGAGGTAAAAGAAGGAAGGCACGAAAAGGAAGTAGCCGTTTTCTTTATCTAAAAAAAGAAAATAAGGAACAAGCTTCTCTAGATATGTGTACTGCACACAGAAGAAGGGGGAGAAGGTGGATGGTCATAAGAACTCAAACTGACCCTCTACCATTTTTAAACAAAATTGAATGAGATAATTATCGTAGCACATAGAAAATGCAATGGCAGTTCCTCTGACATAGCCTCCACTGATGGCAAGAGTTTGTTTCGGACATCAAGCCGTAGCAAGGTAGTTAATTCAAACCGAATCGTGTGTCCCCAAACTCGTGCAGGCTCAAATTTCGGACTTAAGCATGCAGTTCAAGACACTTTCTTCGTTGGTGCATACACAACTACTCACTCTTCCTTGTCTTGACCTGCAATTCTTACAGCAACAAGCTATCTGTTCTTCTTTTCATTGAAGCGTATGAGCTTGAACAAATTTGTCCTTTGTTCAGCAGAGGAAGAAAAAGGGTAGAAAATGTACCAGAATACGAGTAAAAAGTGAGTTTTCAACCGAGTTGTCTCAGGCAAGTGGGCATTTTATAAAGAAGAGTATATGGAGTTTTTTATTTTCCATTATCAACAACGACGACAACAACACCGTCATAAAAAAACAAAGCTATATAATTTTATAATCAGTAATCACAAACCGCCACTTGTAAGATCAGCTATATACGAAAAGAAGCAATAAGGCTGGTGGTTTCAGGAACGATATGACGCAGGAATGAGGGTGGGTGTGGGTGTAAGGGTGAAGTTGAATGGGTTCGTGTAAAGGTGTTTTTCCTCCCATCGTCCTCACCAACCCACATCCACGTCCACCCTGAAGATTATTTATGGATAATGAAACGATTGTTTACGGTCTTTGTATACGAAAACAAAATACGATCTCAGTTTTCTTCCGTTTTTCTTCGTAAATGATCATACTTCTGCGTATACGGTCGTGGAGATGGGTGAGGGCGTGGGTGTGGATGAAAGAGAGACACCCACACTCTCATCATCATCTTGAGGGTGTGAGTGTGGGTGAGGGTGTGGTGGGTGTAGGTGTTGGCGTTTGTCTTCTCTTAATCCACACCCACACCCACTCTCTAGCCATTTACCCACATTCACACTCACACTTTTGATAAAATGTTTCGACAAACGTTTTGTCGACGAAATATAGAAGATTCGTTCGAACGATATTATTTAAGTGCAAATATTGGTCCATAAAACGAAAAAGTCAGCAGAACAGAACAAAGAGAAACGACGTACTCGGTAAATAGAGTGAAATCGCATATATCATATACCACTTACTGAGTATTTTGTCTCTCTCATCCGAAAGATTTTACCCAAATTTGAAAACGAGTTAGTACTTGAAATCTCCATTACAGATAGACAAACCCTCAGTAATAGGATGGTATAGTATTTATAAGCTACTCGTTTTATTGAGATATTATGATTTCACGTTTGATATCGATTACAAACCGATTTTTTTCTGAGCGTCTGAGAAACTATGTTTTTCTTTTAGAGTAATAGTTGTAATATGGGCGCCAACCAAATTAGTCACGGACCGTATGGTAATTATATTGTAACCGATATTAGTGGGCAGAAATATGCGATCTCAAGTCGATTTCGTTTGTCACCTCATAATTGCAAATGTCGAGGGCGAAAAACAGGACTGGTGCTTTATCCTGTCGATAAGAACCATGAAAATACTGTGTTACTTGTTTGTGAAAATCATTTTGGTTACCAATCGAATGATGCAACACAGCATAAGCAATTACTGCAATGGTACTATCGAATTTATGGTGATTCAAAACAATATCGTTTTGTGTCTGGCTTCTCTCAAAAAGATAACGGATCACTTAGTTTCAATAGTATCTCACAAAATGCTGTAGGTCCTTATACGAATAACAAAAAAGAAATGAGTTCAATTGAACAGAAGATCGTAAATAAAATCGTCAGCGAACAGCTCCATTCGTACGATGCCAATGTTGGGTGAGAATGTGACGATGAGATTCGAATATTTAATCACATTTTTGATCTTGTTTCGGCCCAAACCTTTTTTCGTTTTAAATATGAGTTACTTTATTCTCGTTCTCGAAATAAAAATATAAAAACATTGAAGTTAGAGAAGCTATCATGAACTTCATTTCATAGTATGAATTTAAATAATGGTAAGACAAGTAATAAGACTATCAATCATTTTATTTTGTTACTTAAAAACACTATTTGTGATGTTTCGTTCTACCTAAGAACATCATCAGATACGTATAAATGAAAGAAAAAGTCAGTTAGTATATATGTACTAGTATGTATGTGTATTTTCCAAACCACCTTGTGGCTATGGGTGTGGATGAAAAAGAATATCCACATCCACTTCATACAACAACATCGATTTAGTGTATTCCAATATAGGAGAGTACTTGAAAGCCCTTTCATATTACGAAAAAGACTTTGAAATCTGTCAAAAAACTCTTTCTCCAGATCATCCTGATTTGGCTACTTTATACAACAACATCGATGGTGTGTATAACAAGACAGGAGAGTACTCGAAGGCACTCTCATTTCAAGAAAAAGCAATTAAAATTCGACAAAAAACTCTTCCTTCAAATCATCCTTCATTGGCTACTTCATACAACAACATCGGTTTTGTGTATAAAAATATGAAAGAATATTTGAAAGCACTGTCATATTTTGAACGTGCTCTGGACATATGGCAATGTGCTTTACCTTCAACTCACCCTCATATAATAATGGTGAAAGAGATTATTGAAATTGTAAAAAAAGAAATTATAAAGAATAAGTGATAAATAAATAAAAGAAGGGTTTGCTCACTTATTTTTGAATTAATGCTATTTTTCAGAGGTACGTGCGCTCGTGTGTGTGGGCAAAGATACAGGGTACCCATCTTGAGGATGAATCTAGATGTGGGTAAATAGTCGATGTAACACCAACACTTACAACTGCATCACACTCACAACGAAGCACCGAGTTAGATTAATTCAAATGATTTATTTATCGTATAATGGATGAAGTGTTAGATTTTAATATAACGAATTCATCGTAGGTATCGCCCTTTATATATAGATAAACTAGACATTAATCATTTCCTGATTCCACGACTAAATTCAATTTGAAATATGATACTTGGTTGATTCATCGGTGTGAGAAGAATTGCTTTCTATGACGAATAGATATTTTAACTCAATGACTCAAGTAAACTAATTTTTTTCG